AAATTCATTTGCTAAGTTTCGTATCCTGACAGTGGCTTGGCCATCGACGCTTCCCGTAGCCGAGAGGTCAAACGCGTTAGATGGGAACGCGTGTTCGAGTCCTGGGCGGAAAGCGATTATATATTTCAGATAGGTTTTCTCGAACATTCACGAAGATAAATACTATATAATAAATAAAGAGAACGTCTGCTCAAACATGAGTATCCACTGAGATATAATTTTTAATTCATACAGGTTTGACGGATTAATAAATAAAAAAAAAATATATTCCTTTCTTCAATGTATAAAGTGCTTACGGCCACATCAAGTTGAAACACTGATCGCCGTAATATCACCGAAGATAAGCAATTCATGCCTCGATATACAAAATAAAAAATAAGCAAGTAAATGAGAAAAAAATAATCCTAATAAATAAATTAACAAATTAACAAATCGCTCCAGCTAAAATAACCGTTAGAACAAATAAAAAGAAACATAAATAAGCAGAAACAAGTAAAAATCATCAATCCAAATAAATAAATGAAATAATAAACAAATTAAAAACTGTCCCCCCTGCCAAAATAGCAGGACAGACTACGGCAATCAATCTAAAAATTGAATGAATAAATAGCTTTATCTTCCTTGGCCAAAACAAATTATTAAAGAAGCGACCTAAACAACTACCCCGCCAAAATTTGAACTACATTAATAAAACATCGAAAACCGAAAAGAATAAATAAATATAAACTTAAAAGGAAAATAAATAAAAAATCAATTAAAAAAAGAAAAGAATAAAAAAAATAAAAAAAGTCACTTACGCACAAGATAACCGTCGGAATAAATTACCCACCACTGACACATATATATAAATAGTCGAGAAAAAATTAAACACACGCGGCCTGACGATTGCGTATATCAAGAAACAGTCTGTCGCCTCTGAGTGTTGACTTCAATGCTCACTTATATATATATATATATATATATATATATATATATATATATATATATATATATTAAAGACATTTTTATGTTTAACGTTGTTATTTTATAGATACAAGTATTTAAGCAAATGCTCTGTTTATGATAAACAGTATTAAATAACATTTACCGGCCTGAATGTCCGAGAAATTTTCATAGAAAATATTCGAAATTTTCATAGAAAATATTCGAAATTTTCAAAGAACGAATATTTTCTATTTATTTATTTAATTTATTTTAATTTATTTGCAAAAATAAAATTAGGGGTTTTAGCTTCTATTTTTGAAACATGGTTGGAAATGTTTTCTATATTTTAAATCAATTAATTTATAATTTAATGCTCTGTAAATTTACATTGAGCACTATTTTGTAAAAATAAAATATCTATAAGAACACCGGATTTTATATCTTACTGTTCTTTCTTTTATTTATATACATATATATATATATATATATATATATATATATATATATATATAGTCCGAAGAATATAATAGAATATAAAAATCAGAAAAAATAAGGGATAGGGCAGAAATAGAATCTGAATATTAATAGAGGATAGAATATCCGATAGTAAAAAATAAAAGAAATCCGAATAATAGATTAAATATAGAAAATAGTAATAGAGGATAGAGTAGAGATAGAGATCCGAATAATAAAGTGAAATTGTCGGACCTTGTCCATTTAGAGGATTAACGAATATATATATATATATATATATATATATATATATATATATATATATATATAGTAGAGATCCGAATAGTAATAACAATATAAATCCGAATAGTAATGAGGATAGAATAGAAATAGAAATAAAATAGAAATAGAGATCCGAATAGTAATAGAGGATAGTATGATCTGAATAGTAATAGAGGATGATAGAAAATAGAGATCGAATAGTAATAGGGATAGAATAGAAATAGAAAAGTAATAGAGGAGAGGATAGGGATAGAATAGAAATAGAGATCGAACAGTGAGGATAGAGAAATAGAGATCCGAACAGTAATAGAAGAGGATAGTAATAGAAATAGAGATCCGATGAGTAAAAGAGGAAAGAATAAAAAGAGAAAGAATAGAAATATTGAATAGTAATAGAGATCGAATAAATATAGAGATCGAATTTTAATAGAGAGGAATAGAAATAGAGATCCGAATAGTAAAGGATAGAGATCCGAATAGTAATAGAGGATAGAGTAGAAATAGAGATCCGAATATCTGTAATAGAGGATAGAATAGTAATAGAGGAAATAGAAAGAATCCGAATAGAATAGGTAGAAATAGAATAGGATAGAGAGATCCGAATAGGATAGAATAGAAATAGAAATCCGAATAGAAATAATAGAGGATAGAATAGAAATAGAGATCGAACGAGGAAAGAAATAGAGATAATAGATCCGAATAGTAATAGAGGACGAAATAGAGATCCGAATAGTAATAGAGGATAGAATCGAAATGAATCAGGGCTAGAGATAGAGATCCGAATAGTAATAGAAGGATAGAATAGAAATAGAAATCGAAAAGTAATAGAGTAAACATGCGTTTCCTACAAACATGCGTTTCCTACATGGTCACTTGGTCTACTTATTTCAATAATGGGGTCGCCCGTATTTGCTCACCTGCGATCTATGTTCAAACTCAAGTTTCGGCAGCGACACTTTATTCCTATATAACGTCATCGGTATGTGACTGAATCTTTTTGTTTATTTGATATCGATGAGCAATCTGATGTTCTTCATCGATTCCCTTCATCATTAAAAAAAAAAAAAATGCCCGTGATAATGTGGTTTTAGCTTTTTATTTGCATAGGTTAGATTCAGTTCGTTTTTTTTTTTTCTCTTAATTTTTCTTGACTTTTCTGTATTGTAAAATCTTTCGGGCACTTTCTTCGTTTCATTGAACCGTAATTATTTGTTCTAAAACCAAATTAAATTCTGAAAGAGAATTTATTTCTAAGGTTTTAATTAACAAACGGATATCCTCGTGATAGTGTGGTGATATTCTAAGCGTAGCTTAGATGTGGCACAAGGCCGAAACTACGGAGCACCCATTGAGAATCGGAATCAGTTGTAATTGATCGAGCGAGACTGACTTGTTCATCATTACTTCACGATGAATAGACCAGAAATGATTTTATAAGCGTATCTTAGAAATTTGTATTATCGTATACAAAGCCGACAGTATAAAGCACCAGTGAGGATCTAAAATCGATATTCTAAGCGTAGCGGATACGGCACAAGGCCGACAATATAGAGCACTGAGTGTGGTTGAAAAAATGTCTTCTTAGCGCAACAGATGTGGCACAAGGCCAACTATGTGGATCATATAATGAGGATCGAAAAAATGTTTTTTAAACGTAGCTTATATATAGTAAAAGGCTGAATGTTTAGAATGTCCAGTGAGAGTCGAAAAATGATTTTCTAAGCGTAGTTTATATATGGTAAAAGGCCAGAATTTTATGAGAATCGAACTAACTATTTAGTCATAACTAATCGAGCAAGACAAGCTTGCTAATAATTACACCACGTCGAATCGTCAAAACTACCTGATAACAGGAATGGAACATTTGCGCTAAAATATTATAATTTATGAAACCCAAGTTTCTCAGTAATTTGTATTGGTGAGGGTAGCATCAGGAGTAGATAGGCAGATAGGTATATAGGTGTCACTCCTTTCCCGACTGGGTTTCCGCTTCCGTCTAAAGTCTTTTCCTTTCACTTCCGGTGGCCCCCTTCCGTCTTGGTCGCATTATCACATTGTTTGGATTTGTGCCTCTTACTCTGTAACTCTTTACATTGTACAGGGTAAACATTGTGGAACAATTAATAAACATATAAAGACACTTCGACGTGTTGTAATAGTTAGCAAGCTTCGTTCATCACTTGGTGCTCCCAATTTTCAGCCTT